CTGTGGCCTTGAGGCTTGTTACAAACAAGTTTGTGAAACTTAGAGGCAGAAAAATAAGGATGAGATTGGATACATCCCTGAAAGAGGAATTCGCATGCACCAGCTTGAAGAACCAATAAGTAACGCTGAAGAGACGCGTGGACGCAAGACAGCAGCCAATGAAATGGGTTTTGCTTGCTCATGAACACTAGATCATATTATAAAAGGGATAGATTGTAAAAATAAAGTGTCATTGTCGTCGTCTTCTTCGCTTGTCTTCACTTGTCTTCGCCTAAACTCATACGCGGAGTCTGTGATTAATTGCCACACAGTATCTGCTGGAGATGAAAACAGTACAAGTAACTTTTCACAGCATAATAGCGTACATCAGGCTTACAGTTCTGCAGATTTCTCTTTGGTAGTATTTTCCAAAGAAAGGTGGAATGATATAGATCTAGTTGAGAACGGATGTAAATTCCAGCGCACTTCTGACAGCAGGCTGCTAACAATGAACCAGTATGTTTTTAAAAAACTGATCCAAAAGCAGATCAGCCAGAGAATGATATGCAATCCTTTCCTTGTAGAGCAGTAGAGGCACATGATCTTGATTTAGTTTCTCCACCTTTCACCTGTATTTCTGTTCTCCTTGCAAAAAAGCCAATTCTGAAAGTTAGATGTTTTATTGTAACTCTTAATAGAAACCTCACAAGCAGCGATGGGTCCAGGGGTATAAAGACAAAATTTTCTGATGGTTCAGCTTATCTTGAAGTAGACTTTGCTGATGATACTCTAACAAGTTTGATTGGATTTTCAGTGTCTGAAATGAATATGTTGAAAAAGATCCCATTTCACATCCAAAGCTTAAGGATGGTTTAGAGAAAAGTCAAAGATGACTGATAGATCTGTTTGATGACTATAGAATTTAATCGTTTTTTTCAGTATAAAGCCACTGTATTAATTCTACAGGATGTGGATACAAGGCATCTAGAACAATTGAAGAATTGTTTGAATAAATAATGTGTGCAAACTTGTAGATTATATATTAGGAAATGTTTAAGTCAAGATTTTCCCTGAAGGATTGTTGGAAATTAAAGTTAAGTGGTACGCCTTTTCTCTCTCAGGAACAATAGTGGAAAAGTGAGAGGAGGAGATGTCTTAACAGGTAGGTATTTACCAGTTTGTTTCTTATGGTGATAATATTGAAATAA